CTGGGGCAGAAGTGTCCCCGGCAGGGGGCCCACCCTCTTCCGGCGTTGGCCTCGAGTCCAGCCCTTCTCCTGGGGCCACATCCTCAGCCCCTTGGCTTCTCAAGTCCCCCCACCCCCGCTTTCTGCAGCACAAGCGCCTTCTGGGGTGGGATGCCCAGGCCAAGTGTCGTAAGGACCCCACCCTTCCTCCCTCCAGGGACTCCTCAGCCCCAGTCAGGCCAGGCCCCGTGACTCTCAGGACAGCCAGCCTCCCTGCCGCCTCCTCCCTCCCTCTCAAGAGGCCTGTGCCCCGGCGAGGTCTGTGACAAGTGTGTCCTGGTGCCCACGCTCCACTGTCCACATGGATATCGCTGGCTGCTCCCTCTGCCCTGGATTTCGTCTCAGCCGGTCCCAGGGTGGGGGATGGGGGTCCAGGAGTCCAGCCTGGCCGCCGGCCGGCCCAGACACTAGCCCAGGGGTTGCCCAGGAAGAGTCGCTCTGCATGCTCGATGCCCGGTCCCTGGAGACCCGTGGTGGGCCTGGCCAATCTCATCTCGAAGGCCTGTCCCCCCCGCCACGGCAGCACCTCCAGCGGCTGGGCCCGGGCACCAGGAGCATAGGTGGCCCGGGAGCAGCACCAGGCAGGGCCTGGCAGAAGCTCGGGGTGCCAGGCTGGCGGGACCAGGCAGCAGGACCTACAAGCAGGCACAAGGCCTCTGCGGGTGGAGTCCGTTCTCTCTGCCTCCGCCCGGCCTCCCCTCCTGGCCCAAGTCTGTGCCTTTGCGCATGCTGGCTCACCGGCCTGGAATCCCCTTCGTTTGGGGGCCTGGCGGAGGCCTAGGTAGCCTCTGGCCTTTCTCGGCCTCCAGGTCAAGGAAGCCTCCCAGAGGCCCCACCCCAGGCAGCCCTCCGTTCCCTGAGCCCTGCTGGGTCACCGCCCCCAGAGTGCCCCGACCGTCAGGACCAAGGACACAGCCAGAGCGCAGGTCTGAACACCAAGTCCCAGGGAAAGGGATGGGCAGCTGGCCCCAGCCTCCCCTCACCCTGCCTTCAGGACAGCCCCTTGGAGGAGCAGGGAGTCGGGTTACCAGATCGGAGGCTCTGCGCTAGGCTCCTGGCAGGGTTACCCTGGAAACGTGACCCCTTGGGCTCAGAGCTGGTGCCCCCAACACTCACCTGTCCAGCCTGGGTGGCGCCAGGGCAGGGACAAACAGGAGGTGCCAGGCCCTCAGAGCCCTCAGGGGGTGGCCGGGAACCGTCTGGACCCGGCAGATGCCGAGTCCCTGCCCGCCTCCCCACCTGAACCCCGAGAACCATGCTGTGTGGACCACGGGAACTGTGCCACTGGCCCTGTGCACAGCAGTCTCGGCGGTGGGGCCACCCACTGCCAATGCCCCCCGCGCCCACCCTGGCCCTCTCTGTTCCTTACACAGGCCAAGCTCCAACAGCAGACCGGCTGGGTGGGCAGCAGTGACGCCGCCTGAGTCACCCTGGCCACCAGGGCCCAGGCATGGCCTGCTCCCCACCTTGGGGACGCCCACTCCCCGGGTCCCCTGTGCACCAGGAAGCAAAGGCCCCGGCTCCTGCCCACACCAGGCCCGCTCCCCACACGCTGCAGGCCCCGCCCCGCCTGCCAGGCCCGGCTCACTCCACAGTGGCTCCAGCCCGTCCTCGCTGCCAAGGCCAGGCCCAGGCTGGGGACCGCCTCCCGCGGGCCAGGCCTCACACCAGGGCTCTGCCTGGCTGGCATCCCGCCGCCTTCGCAGGCTGGGGCGGGGGGCAGCCCGGGGCCCCTGGCCCGCTGGGTGGGGGCTGGGGCTACGAGGACTCTGGCTTCCACTTCCGCGCTTCCTTCCCAGGCGGCACAGAGCAGCTGCCCGAGGGCTGCCGCTGCGGCCTCGCTCTCCAGCCCCGAGGCCCGGGCTGCGCCCCCCATCCTGCCTGGAGGCAGGGCGTCAGGGCGCCTGAGGCCCAGGAAGGACCGGAGAGCCGTAGGGAAGGGAAGGGCTGGGCTCGGAGGCGCAGGGCAGCGTCTGCCTCCACTCACCTCCCGGACACACCTGAGGTCCGGCCTAGGGTGGGGGCAGCCTGGCCCCCCAGGGGGCTGTGAGGCGGGCCCAGGGCACCCCCGAGGGCCTGTTGCCCAGGAGGGCCCCTGGGCAAGCACTGGGCAGAGGGCGGCAGAGCAGGCAGAGCTGCTTCTGGGCCCAAGCACTCCTCCAGGGCTGTCCGGCCTAGGGATGCCTCTTGGGCTTGACGCAGCTGCAGCATGCCACCTGCTCCTGCGTCCCTTCCTCACCTGCTCCCTGGCCAGCAGATTCCGTTCCTGTGCCCTTCCCCGGGCCCTGGGCCCTCTCCTGACCCTGCCCTCTCCACCCTGGCCTGGAGCTGGCCGAGTCCGCCGCTGGAGGAAGAGCCAGAGGCTCAGGGACCAGCCCAGGTTTGGCTCTCGAGGTCTCTGAGGACCTGGCCCTGCCGGCCCCTGCAGAAACAAGGGCAGCCCCTCGGCAGGGCCGGCCAGGACATCCCCCGCGCCTCCTGGGGCCTGGTCCTCCATCCCCTGGGGGATGCTCCCTGCATCGAAGCCCCTCTTCCTTGCTGGGGTGCCCCCTGCTCCCCAGGCGAGCGGACTGCTGCCTCCCAGAGCAGCCCGGGCCCAGGGGCCCAGAGGCCCAGAGGGAGCCGTGGCGCCTCTACAGGCTGCCTTCCTGGAGGCTCCGCCACCAGCACGGGGCACAGAGCAGCTGTGGGGGCACACCGGAGCCACGGGACGACAGGGTGCAGGGCCCACCCACAGGCCCAGCCCTGGACGCGCCCCGCCGTGCCGCCATGCCCGGCTGCCTTCGTGCTGCCCTCCCAAGGCCAAGATGCCCTCCCGCACACCACAGGCCCGGCCCGCGGAGCTCTGCTCCCGCTGCGGCCGCTCGGCCCCAAGTCCTGCGGCCTCCCCTGGGGCTCCTGGGTTGTGACTCCCCGGCCCGGGGCCCCAAGGCCAGCCAGGACCCTGCCCAAGCGGGACAGCTGCAGCGGGCGGAGCCGGGTGGGCAGTTGGGACGCGGACAGCCGGGAGGTCTCCGGAGCCTCCCACTCCCGCCGCTGTGGCGCCCGGAGCAGGGGACAGGGCAG